CACCAGCACACAGCCCCTGTGCTCATGGAGCAAGCCAGAGGCAAACAGCATGTGTGGCACTTGGATTCAAATCCAGTGTCTTAGTGGCAACTGCTGTGGGACAAGTCAATCACAGCTTTTCAGTATTGTGTCTGCCTCTAACTCTCGTCCAGAATTGGCTCTGTTGGTGTAACGAGCTCTTTGCAGCTGTAAGGTCACCCAGGGAATGGGCACAGGGGGACTGGGCTGCCAGTCATGCAGCCAGGTGATCCTGCCATGCCAAAGCACTGTGACAGCACTACAGGTGTTGTAAGGAAACGTAAATTGTTCACACTAAGCTGCAGTGGCCTGTTGTGGGTGTGTTCACTGGCTTTGAGTATAGGGGTTTATTTACTCCTGTATAAGTTATACCTCCTAATGCAATAGGTAAAAGCTAAATTCTAAAAGCTCCATTCTGAGCCATCAAACGCTGGAGCTTTGTGTCTCTATGTGCATGGCTTGTTGTTTATACTGATTCTTTACTGAGGAAAAATGAATGTTGCTGTTGAAGGACATGCAGCTGCGGTGCAGCTTTGACTGTGCTGCCTGCAAGGTCAAAATAAATGTACTGGGTAAAAGTGGGATATGGAAGTACTCGAGACATTGCGTGGGTGGTTTACCCCTAAAAATTTCCGTGGAGAGGAGTGTTTCACTGCCCTGCAGAAACTCGGACTAACAGATGTGTAAAATGGATGATCACGTCTGAACTGAGCTCCTCGAGGCCCCATCTCCTATTTTTTCTTGACGTGCTCATTTGTCAGCACGTTGTCAAACCTTCAATTAACGCGTCACTGGCAGCTCTGCTCACCCTCCCTCTCTCCCTTCAGCCCCGACGGGTCCTTTCCCCTCCTGGGCAGGGCGCTGCCCACGCACACACAGCCCTCCCTCCCACGCTCAGGTGCTCAGCTCAGAGTGGAGACAAAATAAAGCGATCCTGTCCATCACTCCTTTCCTCCTCAGAGAGGTCAGCGAGTCCCTGCTGCTTTTCCTGCTGCAGGGGTGGGCCAGGGCACGTAGCAACTGCTCAGCTAAATGAATTCACTGCCGAACACCCCCACGGGTGTGGCTGCCACGCACGGGGCGAAATCCTCCCAGCACAGGGCTGCAAGGGAAACTGGTTCCCTTTGTCGGGGCCACCAAAGATGGCCAAGCAAAGCAATCCCAAATTACCCAGTGCATTGCACAGTTTATTTTACATTTACCAGTTACCTGGAAAATTGGAAGGAAAAAGCCCCCATGTTCATTGAGGACTTTGTGGCCATGTGTTTGCTGTAGCCTTTTGGTGAATCGACCATGCCCCTGGTCTGATACAATGTGAGAATAATCAGATGTCTGAAGTATTTTCTCTATGTGTTCTTTAACTTTCTCTCCCTCTATTCTATTCACTCTAAAAAAAATGACACACTAATTCATTCTTTCCAAATTCAGCTCACATGAGAATCTTCCTGTAACAATACCTTTTATTTCCCATTTCCTCCTCTAGCACACCCAGAACTGAGCAGAGCACTTTTAGTAAAGATCCTCCTCAGCAAATCACCTCTGCTTTATGACTTAGTTGTTATCCTCTTCTTTCCAGGTACAGTTTGGAGGCGCTCAGGGAACACCCCTTCATGCCCTGTGAGGGAGTTAATGTTGAGCACATTCACCTCACCTGATGGCAACAAGTGTAATTACGCCTCACATACAATGGATGGGCCACAGGGAGCAGAACTGCCGGGGTGGGAGGGACTGCATATATAGGGTTACAGTCACAGGGCTGGCAAGGAGAGAGCAGCAAAATCATAGAAAGCAGCGTGGCTGGGCTGGGATCTGATCTGTCTGCCTGCTGGAGGAGGGCAGGTTTGCCAGCTGGCTGAACCTGAAGGCACTGCCCATCGTGACCGAGCTCGGGGATCTGCAGCCACGGGAGAGAGTGACAATTGCAGGCAAGTTTAGATTAGACTTAAGTTATCTAGAGCAGGAGAAAAAGAGCTGCCTGGAGCATGCCAGATTTCTGGCATTAAATATTAAATATTAAATTGTAATTATGTACACATTTTATGTACATTGTATGTTTTCAACTTTAACAAATTGACCAAACAGAAGCCAAACGTGACCTTTTGGAGGAAGAATTCATTTCACGTAAGTAAATCTCAGGAATCTTCATTTCTATATAGAATTTAGGACTTTCTGTGTGTGTTTAAGGAATTCAGGCTGCAAGCTTTTTCATTGTCCGTGATTCCAGATAACTGCTCAGGGCTACTGAAAAAAAAAAAAAAAAAAGCAAATAGCAGAATGAAGCAGCTGGTGTGTGTCCCTGGTGCTCTCAGCACTGGGGTCACCCTGCCACAGCCAGCACCTGCCTTGCTGGGGCCTGGGCTGCCACAGTGTCTGCTCTGGAACACACCTCCTGCTCTTCCAGGCAAAAACTGGCTGAATAATGATCTTCTAGGATTGGTCAAGTTCTTAAACAACCTGGTTGAGTTTATATTTTCCCAGACAGGGAAACCAGAAGGACAGAAAAAGTGTCCAACCAAAGCAGAAGCTTTCTGAGGTTTTGACAGAATACAAATGCATGTAAGACTTAAGTCAACATGAGACATTCCTTTCAACCCCAAATTATGTGCTTTGGTTTACCTTCTCTTATTTCACACACTGGAAGTCTTTTCTCAGTATCTTGTTTTAGTCAGAAAATATTATAGGCATGAAAAGAGATTTTTGAAGGTCAGAGACCAGAAAAAGTCTCAATGTTACCAACGTATGGGTGCAGATGCTGTTTCCAGGTTCTCCCACTTCCTTTACCTCCACCAGCTACCAGTGTTCCTTTTTGTTCTGACCAGCCAAGGACCTGACATATCTGTTGATATATGACAGGATCCCACCAGCAATTCAGTTCTGTAACGATGGGATTTGTTTTTTCTGAATTTATTTTAAAGTCAGGTAACTAACGCTTCCAGCAAGAGTGCTTGCATCAAAAGGTGCAAAAATGTTTTCCTCTTAACTCAATTCTTTTCCTTGTAGTTGTTCTGGATTTTCTTCTGGCCTGCCAAAATAAATATTCAGCATTCAAAAATTTTAAAAGATAGTAATTATTCTTTTTTTTTTTTTTTTTGGAAGAACAAGCTTTAAAGTTTAAAGGAAAACTATTTCAAATTAAAGTTTGAAACTGAGGAAATTAGGAGGCTAGATCATTTTAAAGACCTTAATTTTCAGTTGATCTAGTGACTTGTGGGGTCAAAATTTAAAATTTGAACAGCCCCCATAATATATCATCAGTATACCTGATCTTTCACAGCAGCTGTCATGCCAGGACCCTTTCCTTACAGAATCCTCTGCCCATGCACTTTCCCAAAGCAGCTGTCTTTCAGGATCAGACAATTGCTCACAGTTGCCTTTGCCCAACTTGAAAAAAAAAGAAACATTAAAAAACAGAGAGAAATTATATCTGTCTAAAATCACTCAAAACCTCTTCTAGACAGACAAATATTTTGAGCTGGAAGTGACAATTTGGCAGAGCCAGCGAAGTCTGATTCCAGAGTGTGTGATGCTTTGTGCCTCCCCCATCGTTTTGTAATTTTATGTGGCAATTATTCTGTTCCTGTCAGTGGCCAAAGGAAGCTCAGCACAGGGCAGGGCAGCCACCAGGCAGCCATGGCACAGCCAAACTTTTCAACTGAAGTCTAATTTGTAAAATTAACTTCTTTCTAGAAGTTCTTCTTTAAGCTACCTGGACTAATCCTCCTTCTTTCCCATCAGAAGTGTGGTCTGACATTGCTGTGAGTGGGTAAATAATTATCTCTCCAGCCCTGCATCATCCCATTATAATGAGGAGCACTAGATAGCATCTGGAAACATCTGAATACCGTGTTCAAAGAATGGCCTGAAAGTGCAAAGCCTTGTTAGGAATTCAGGTGTCAGACAAGTATTAGAGCATACTTTGTTTTGAAAAAAACCCACCCTTTCTCTGCTGGGATACCCTGCATTTGTGGTGCTTGAATATTCAGGTGGTTTTGCTGGCTCTGAATGGTCAGTGTTGTTGTTGTTGGAGTTCTGTGACAGCACCAGAGCCCTGCCTCCAGCTGAGGAGACAGAGTGTCCTCTGGGCTGTGGGCAGCTACCACAGGGAGAATCTAACCCAAGCAGAAAATGCCTGATATTTGGGTTATTATGGAGCAGCCAGGTTGGAAGCTGAGGCCCTGATTGCCCTGTGTGATGAGAGAGTCCAAAAAGAAAGGTGTGTGACTGGAGCAGCACTTCAGGCTGGGAGCAAAACATCAGAGTGGAGCAGTGCAGAGCTCAGAGCTGCCCACTGTGGCACCTGCTCCAAGGCCAGCAGGAGCCCATGGAATCTCAGGCCAGAAGCCAGGACTTGGTTCCACTCCCAGAAAAGTCAACGAAACCCATTTGAAGTGAAATGATTTCATGCTGTACTGCAGGCTGGGTGACTTGGCAGCATTACTGTTAATAGCATGGATTTATCCCAGGTACAGTTAATGGAGCACAGAGTTACAGCACTTCTGTGTAGATGGTTAGTGGAGCTTCGGACTAAAAGATGCTGAAACTGTCCTCTGTGGGCAGGATTTCACCTGGCCTTCGGAGTCTGACTGCTCTGGGAACTCCCCAAACATTTTCCTACTTATTAAATCCCTTCCCACTGTGCCATTCTCAACATCATCTAATGGCCATCCCATACTGATAGAAGAGGGCCTAAAATTCATCAAGGGATTCAGGACCTGAGCTGTCACCAGGGTCTGTTATGTAGTGTTGAGACAGAATGTGCTGAAAAATGACACTAGCCAGGAAAAAGGGCAGGAACCATTGTGTATCAGGAATATTAAACATCACACAGTGATGGTTCTGACTGAGCAGCATTCCTTTTCCCTGTCCCCTTCCCTTAAAATAGTTTTTCTTAAACCACAAAACTTTGCCTTTCTTTTCTGCTTCACAGACAAGCAGAGCAACCACAGAAACAACCTCCAGAGATGTTCTGCAGATATTTTTCCTTCTTTGGTCTGTGTCTTTTCCTTCCCACCCAAAGGTAAGTGGAAGGTTTGTTTTGTTTTACAGGGAACATTTGAGTTCTGTTACACATAAATAATGTGGGCCAAAAGGAAACTATGCATCCAGTTATCCAGCCCATCCAAAGGATGCAGGAAGGGATGTGGCACAGAAGAGAGCAACCTGCACAGGTCCCTAAACCGCAATATGTCCATTACTGGTGCAACGCCTGATTTGCTGTTCAGAACCAGCGCACAGCGAAGGTTTTTGCAGGAAATGCCCCC